GGCTCGCTGGGAGAAGCCAGAAGGCCGGGGAAGGGCCGTTACTTTCCTTCCCAGCAGGGAAGACAACAGGGAACTGGGAGCAAATCTGCTGTGGGGATATTGCGTTGGGGACAGATAAGGACAACTCCACTTGGTAACCTGGGTGGCCTAGGAACACAAAGAGGGAAGGAATACAACAGGACTCGGGCTCCTCGTGCGGCAACACGCTTAACCCAGGGGACAACCCGCAACGCGCTCGGCTGCTCGGGGTTGCACTTGTCCGGTGCATCCTGGCCTGGAGGCCGCGGGCAGGACCGGCCTCGCGGCGGACGCGCACGGAGCCTCCTCGCCGGTGGCTCTCCGGATCATCCTCGACGGATGCTCATCCTCGCCGGACGCTCTGCCGGTGGCTGCTCTCCTTAACGCGGGTGCCAGCGAGGGCTCCCGGGGCGGACACGTGTTCCTGGTCTCTACATCCGCACTAAGCGCCCTGTCCCTCCCCAGCGGTTCTCACGTGGAAACCTCTCAGCTAACGGTGCTCCCGGCACAGAGGAGGCGGCTGCGGATCTGGCTCCTGGCTGTGCTGCCTTTCCACAGACACCGACGAGCGCAGTGAGTGACAGCAACGAGAATGAAAGGAGACCAGGCAGGAAAGGATTTCTATGCTTTGCACAAAACCAGGCCCCAAAACACAGCTTGTCTACACAACTTCTCCCTGCATGAAGCAGCAGTTTTTGTCCCCGGAGGAGCTCTGTGGGCAGGCGCGTTCACAGAAGCCCTGGCCCTGCTCACGCAGCGCCTGCAGCTCCAACACCGAGACACGAAACCTTCTGCTTCCCGTCAAGCCCGGCACGGAGGAGACCTTGTCCTGGCCAGGGCTCCCCGCTCCTGCCGCAGCGCTCGGGATCCCCATCCGCAGGGAGGACAGGGAGCCGGTGGCAGAAGCTGCCGCGCAGCAGCGCCTTCCTCGGCATCAAACAGCCTGGAAACGGCACCGGGAAACAGCGGCTGGAGCCGACCAGGCAGCGGGACCAAGTGCTACGGCTCCGGACACGCGTCCCCGCAGCCAAGCTGCAGCCTGAGGACTGCTTCAGTGCGGCCCTAACCTGCAATTCCCGGGGTCTCACGGAGAGTCGAAGCCACGCAGCCGCCTCGAGCGTCGGCCCCGGCCCCTTGGAGCCCGGAGCAGCGCCCGCTGCTTCCAGAGGATCCCGGTGCAAAGTGCCCTCTCCACAACCCGGGCTCACGGAGGGCTGCTGGGCTCCCTCCATAGATCCCAGAGGGCGGGAGGAGAAGGATCCGCGGAAACGGGAGAGCAGCCCTCGGCTCACACAGTCACTCCAGCCGCTCGCCCATGCCCAGCGTCTCCGCAGGCCAGGAACTGCCTCGTGCTCGGCTCGAATCCTGCCGCTCCGATACCGGAGCATTCCCAGCCTGACCCCAGTGGGTCAGGATGACAGTTATTCCCTTCCTCTTTGCAACACCACCAACAATGCACATCTAAAGATATATCCACCCCTCTCTCCAGGCCCCTCTGTGTCCATGGCACCAGGCACAGTGCTCTGACACTCCTCCAGGAAGATCATTTCATTTGGCATACAGGAATGGATAAGCAGCAGTGTCATCTGCAGGACATTTGCTTCCCTCGCAGCAGCTTAACACTGCTGACTCACTTTCAACTTGTGATCCGAGGTCCTTTTTCCAAAGCTACTGCTACACCCTGCATCATGCAGCGTTTCTTTGCTCAAGTGCAGTGTTTCACATCGTTTTGATTGAACTGGCACCTCTTCTTTTCTTTTTTCCCCAGACGGTTTTTCCAAGCTGCCAAGATGATCTGCATCTCCAGACCCGGTTCCGCAAAGCACCTGCAGCTCCTCCCAGCTCAGAATCCCAGAACGGCTGAGGTTGGAAGGGACCTCTCGGGATCCCCCAGTGCAGCCCCTGCTCCAGCAGGGACACCCAGGGCACAGGGCGGCATCCAGGCGGGTTGGAGATCTCCAGAGCAGGAGCCTCCACAGCCTCTGGGCAGCCTGTGCCAGGGCTCGGGCACCCTCACACCCAAGAAGTTCTTCCTCATGTGGAGATGGAGCTGCCTGGGGTTCAGCTTGTGCCCGTTACCCCTTGTATCCCCCTTGTACCCACCTTGTGCCCCGCTCCTACGCCAGGAGACCGATCTGTGCTCAAGCACAAGGGCTTGTGCGCGACGCCCGGCACGAAGCTGTTGGTGGTCAAAGGCTACTCGCAACAGCCCAAGAAGGAAAACACAGCTCTGCAAGCTGACGAGGTCCCGGCATTTTTCCGACACTGCCCAAACACCCATTACTGAGAGTCCCGGGACGTGGCTGGAAAGGGACTCACGGTTCCTAGGGATAACGCACGGATGTAACGCATGGATGTAACGCACGGTCATCGTGGCCACCAGGCATCTGAGAGGGGAAGCCAAGCTCCTTTCCTAGGGCACCCAACTTCTGAAGTATGTGGATAAAAACATGAGAATTAACTTTAATCTAGTAACTGCAGGTGAGGATCACGCAGACCCTGTGAGACGGATATCCTAGCTAGGAACAGGCACAGTTCATGAACACGTAATTTCCTGAGAACATGATTAAAGCAGCCTGTAAAAAGCATAACCGCAGTTTTGCAATGGCCATAGGAGGACCCTTGTTCAACCTCCTTGAGCGTCGCATGTGTTGGAGCCACAGAACCATCCATCTCCATGGGGACGTGCAGGGAGATGCTGCTACAAACACCCCAAGGGGGATCCTGGCCTAACTGGGCCCCACTGCAGCTGCTGGCGAAACCACTGCAGATTTCCTGGGGAACAAGCACCCCAAGGCTGTTCAAATTCCTTCTCTTGTACAGCCCAGAAAAGCTCTAAAGACAAGAAAACGGACAACAGAGATCACTGAATAAATCACGGAATGAGTTTCCTCTGGTTTCCATGGATGTCAGGTCCAGCCTTCCCAAGCCCACGTTTGGTTTTGACTGAAACGAGTGAAGCCTGACGCTTTACAAGATGCTTTGCATGAACTGAAACACAGGTAGGTGACACCTGGCCGGCGTGCCCGGGGTTTTGGGCCCCTCTGGAGCGAAGGCCAACGCGGGCAGCCCGTGCAGGGAGCC